TATCTCTACTCAGAACACAACGCAATCACCTTTTGTGTAAATTTTTAGAAATTTAACACGGCCGTTTTAAAGTAATATAAATTTTTCATATAATGAGATGGGCTTTATATTTAATTTTGATAGTGAGCCTAGCTTCTTTAATAAAATTTCGGAGCATCCGAGTATTAATTATCAAGATTTGTATCAAATGGTTGATAAATTTGATGTGAATAATTAGTGACAGTTTTATTGTTGGTCATACTGTATGTTATATATATTGTAATAAAATTTTTGTTTGGAAAATGTACTCTGGTTGCGACCAAAGTATATGATAATTGGAAAATAGACACTTCGGTGTCGGCAGATTGTTGGAAAAAGATTTCGGTTTTGGAAAGTAGTTTAAATGGAATTTTAAATGAAATCAAGAACGGCAGACCTGAAAAGGTGGAAACGATGAAAGATAATAACGATGATCGTTCGGAATTAGTGGAGAAGTTAGTAGTTGACCTCCAGGAATTAAAGGATATAAAAGAATCTATTAAAGATATTTATAGTGTGTTATCTAAATTGATTAACATGAGTAATCAAGGGGACAAGAAACAACTCGGTGATAGAATTATTTCGAATGGAAAGAATTTTCCAAAGATTGTTGCTGACATAACTTGTAATCGGTGCGGATACAAGGGACATTATTCTAAAACCTGTGTTGTTAAGGAACAGAATTTTAGAATGGGTTTTCCACTGCAAAGGTCTAGAGAAGAAAATTCCAACGTAAGGAAAATTTCATGCCTAGATGTAAATAAAGTTGAGTCGTTGCGATCGAATTATGGCAGACCCCGTTTGTGTTTTAAATGTAACAAACCGGGACATGTAGCCATAAACTGTATCAAAAATTGACTCTATGATTGCAAATGTAATCATATAGTAGGTAGGAGATCGGGATGGAAAAATGATAATAAAGTAAATAACCATGCTGAAATGAGATATAATTCTCGTAAAAGCAGTGGTTATAACCGAAATATTTTTATTCATGATGATAAAAATAATAAAGATTCTAATGATTTTAAATGGGAGAAATATCGGTTAATGATGCTTACTACCAAGTGAATGTATGGAAATATTCTAAATACCAACCTAATTTGCTAAATACCGACCAAAATTTATTAAAATGTAATAAGATCATTATTATTTAATATATTAATACGGAATCTCGTGGTCAAGTCCGGCCTCCTATATATTATCCCCCCAAGGATGGAATCACCAAGTTAGAATAAGGAAAAAAACATGATCATTCCCGGGATTTGAACCCGGGACCATGGGATAAGTAAACCAAGCTCTTGCCTACTAGGCCATAGAGGCTTTCCAAAAATCACGATTTTTCAAATATATATTATAAATATATTTGGTAGTGCCTATCCAAATGAAAAATGAACAAAATTGAAATTTGATAGATGGTACCTTAAGGTACCAAGCATCATTAACCAGAAATATCCTAGGGGTATTGTTAAATATTCCAATGAAAGGAATATTAATACTTTCAGATGGGGAAAATATCCCAGTTCTATTGCAAAAAAAAATATTAATATTGTTAAGGAACCACTAAATTCCGAGTTGAATTTATGTTCAAATGGGAATCCTCATGAAACTGATGTTTCAAATGAGATTAATATTGATCAGTCAATTAAAACATATGATATTTTAATGACTGAGAGATTAGTCGAACCTTGTCCTTGTCCAAGAGTTACTGTAAGAGTTGAGTCGAGGGACATCGACATGTTGTTCGACACAGGGGCTAGCATTTCCATAATGTCTAGAAGAAATTATTATAAGTATTGGCCTGGGGGTAAGCTTGAAAAAGAATCTATGTGTGTCAGACAATTTGATGGGTCTGAAATAATAATTTTGGGAAAAACTAAATTGGGCGTAATTCTCCATGATACCACATTTTTCCTAGATTTATGGGTAGTAAAGAAAGATGTGGAAACCATCATGGGGTGGGATTGGATTGTTCAGTTAGGTCCTTTCAGTAATTATTGGAATATTTTTGCCCTACATAATGGTTCGGCCCTAATTAAGACGAAAGACCAAAATATTGCTTATAACGCTCGAAAAAATATCCATGAAATAGAAGGGAAGTATTTAACCGTAAAACAAACTGATTCAACCCGTAATTCTGATAGGTATGTAAAGTCCACGGAATTAATGGTTGAAAACAACATTAGCATTGATGAAACCCCAATGGTTGCTATTGGCATTCATGAATTACATAAAATGAGTGAAAATATATCTCGTTTAATGAAGAAGTATGAAATAATTTTCAAAAACAAATTAGGTTGTCTTAATGATTATCAAGTAGATATAAAATTAAGGGAGGGATTTTCACCTATTTTTCTAGCGTGTCGACGAGTTCCTTTTCAATGGAAAAAGGAAATTGAACGAAGAATTAAATCAGTGGGTTAAAGATGGCATTATTGTTCCAGTGGAATATAGTGTATGGGCAACCCCGTTGGTACCGGTTAAGAAATCAAATGGTAAATTGAGACTCTGTGCTGATTTCAGAGTAACCGTTAATCGATGGGTAGCAGAAGTTAAATATCCTTTACCTCGAATTGAGGAAATTTTGGCCCAGTTGAAGGGAGCGAAATATTTTTCAAAGGTTGATTTTTCGTCAGCCTATTTACAATTACCTGTGAGAGAGGAGATTCGTAAATTATTGACGATCACGACTCCCAAAGGGTTGTTCGCTTTTTGTAGATTACCATTTGGATTGAGTGTGTCAGCGCCTATTTTTTAGCGCACCATGGCGTCCGTTTTCCAAGGACTAGAGGGTGTATTTTATTACATGGATGATGTGCTAATTACAGGGATAACGCCTGAGCAGCATAACCATCGTCTGGAGGAAGTTTTTAAAAGAATTCATGGTAAAGGCTTAAGAGCCAGTAAAGAGAAAAGCATTTTGGGCGTAATGGAGGTCGAATATTTGGGCCATCAAATAAATGGGATTGAGGTGAAGCCATTGCAAAAAAATTTAAAAAATATATTAAATTTGAAACAGCCCAATAATAAGGCTGAAGTGCAGTCCTTTTTAGGTATGGTAAATTACTATCATCGTTTTATAGAGGATTTTGCGAAGGTAGCTGCTCCGTTATATGAGTTATTAAAAAAGGGTTTTCATTTCGATTGGAAAATGGAGCAACAAGAAGCATTTGAAATTTTAAAGGGAAAAATTGGGGAAGAGCCAATTTTAGTCTGTTTCAACAATGATTTAGAAATTATTTTATCTGTTGATGCCTCCAACAAAGGTGTTGGAGGAGCCTTATTACATATAATTGATGGTGTGGAAAGACCCATCATTTTTTTTCCCGAGTTTTTAGGGATGTCGAAACGAGATATTCGGTGATTGAACAGGAGGCCTTGGCCGTGATTTTCGGTTTGACGAAATGCCGTGAATATTTGATTGGTAAAAAATTTGAAATTTTTACTGACCACAAGCCATTAATCCACCTTTTCCGAAAGGATAATAGGGAGTTAATGCTATCTCCCCGGTTACAACGTTGGTTGTTATTAGTGGGCAGTTTTAATGTGGAAGTTAGATATCGTCGGGGCAACGAGAATCATTTGCCAGATATTTTGTCCAGGTTGGGTTCTGGCTGTGCAGACCCGGTGTAACGTGATATTTTAACTTAAATTTAAATTAACTCCCTTTAGTAATACTGACATTTAAGATTGAAGTTATAATATATTTTAATAAAATATCATTTTTAACTTAAATTTAAATTAACTCCCTTTAGTGATACTGACATTTAAGATTGACGTTATAATATATTTTAATAAAATAGCATTATAAAATTTAGTAATACTGACATTTATGACTGACATGTAATGTTAAAAGTTTCTATTATTTAGTAATACTGGCATTTATGACTGTCATGTAATGTTAAAAGTTTCTATTATATAGTAATACTGGCATTTATGACTGGCATATAATGTTAAAAGTTTCTATTGTTTAGTAATACTGACATTTATGACTGACGTATAATGTTAAAAGTTTCTATTATTTAGTAATACTGACATTTATAACTGACATGTAATGTTAAAAGTTTCTATTATTTAGTAATACTGATATTTATGACTGGCATGTAATGTTAAAAGTTTCTATTATATAGTTATGGCATTTATGACTGGCATGTAATGTTAAAAGTTTCTATTATTTAGTAATACTGACATTTATCAGTTACTGCTTAAAATTTATATATAGCAATATTGACACTTATGATGGACAGATGATGCTTAAAGTTTGTATTTGCAATATTGACACTTATGACTGACAGGTACTGCTTAAAATTTATATATAGCAATATTGACACTTATGACCGACAGATGATGCTTAAAGTTTGTATTTTTTCCAATATTGACACTTATGAGTGAGATAATTAAAATTTATAAGATAGATTATAATTTCTAATATTTAGTAATATTAACATCTAACTTTCAATCTTTTTAAATTTCTTATGCCTATAAATAATTTAACGCCGAAAACGTTATAGCTTAATTTAAAAAAGGTTTGATCAAAATTTATATACACATGGTAGGTTAAATTTATTCATATTTAAACATAAATTACATATCATTCATCTAATGATTCACTATTGTGACTTTATATAAAAATAACTAATTATAAAATGCTATATAGTATAAATTCGCAATTGAATAGAACTGAACTCATAAAAAAGATGCCAACCTATTGTACCTTTTATAAAATTAACTATTAATAAAAAATATAAAGTGCAATAATATTTAATAAAAAAATGCTTACCGATTATACTTTCAACTAAATTGCGATAAATATAATGAAATAAAAGTATAAGAATAAATATTAATTACATTGATAAAAAGGATGCTGTACCTTTTATTAAAATAACTATTAATAAAAAATATAAAGTGCAATAACATTTAATAAAAAAATGCTTACTGATTATACTTTCAACTAAATTGCAATAAATATAATGGAATAAAAATATTAGAATAAATATTAATTACATTGATATAATTCTAACAAAATGATTGTTATTTTCATTACATAAATATATATTTTCTTTAAAAATTTTAATATTATTAAAAAATTTCATGGGTGAATAATAAGCCCACTTATATTGGGTATAAATTAATATATTTGTCTGCAACAATGTGGCCATAGATAATATTTCCACCTCTGTTGCCCAGACACCATTTCCTATAACATTTCTGTCAATTAGGTATTCTTCTACAGGATATCCTATGAATTTTTCCATTTCCAATTTGAAATCGTTGCTCCTCATAAAGGCAACGCATTTCTCCCTCAGGTAATTATAATTATCCTGACTATTTGATATTTCTTGACTTATACACCTATAAACATGTTAAATAATTAAATATTATATAAAGTAACTAACCTAAAAAAACAGTTTCCATCACCCACAATATGATCGGTTGTGAATATTTCCTTTAATATACCACTTTCGATCTTGGGATAACGGCCAATTACTTTGAAATTGAACAGTTTAGAGTGGTATACTTTCCAATTCCTAGTTGTGGGCAAAAAAACCTCACCAATTTTCTTTGGTATTATTGTATCAACAATTTCGTCATCTAAATTTGATAATTAAATAATAACATATTTTTAAAATATATTACCTTTACCCTGATCTTGTATGCCTACATATCCTCCCTCTCTTACTATACTTTTATAAGCTTTTGTTGGATCTTCACCAAATGTATCTGCATATAAAAAAATAATTAAATAATTTTATATATTATACCCTTTCTCTTGACATGGATTATGTTGGTGTCCTCCTTTCCAATTTCCAACCCTAGGATTTTAGCTTTATCAAAAATAAAAATTTTTCAATTTTTTAAAAATAAAACTTTCTTCTGCAACATTTATTTCACAGGACATCTCTTCAAATAGTGTTTCTTCTAATGGAAATATAATAATTAAAAATATATTTTCCTTTTTTCCAAATGCATTTGATTACCTTCTCCTTCTCCAACTATAGTTTTAAGAAGCCTACAAACTTAATTATTTGTTTAATATTATTTTTATGAATTAACTGTATATATTACCTTGATCTTGAACACCTACTATAGTTTCACAATGTACCATATTATTAGGTTTTTTAACTGTTTCTTTACCATTAAAAAAGTTATATTTGTATTAAATACCTTTGTTCCCCTCGATATAGTGTTTTAAATTACTGAGGTTAGTCTTTATACGTAAAATTTTTCCCGTTAAGGAAGATAATTCAACATTGCCTAAATATGTATAAATATTTTGTTAAAAATTAGGATTTTACTATTAACAATTTTAATAATTGTATATGGGCCTACCCAAGGCTGCAACATTTTCCCTCCTTTCCTGTCAGCTCGACGATTATTCCATACAAGCACTTTATCATTTATGTGATAAAGTGCATTCTTAGCAGCATTACGAGTTTTATAATCTCGTTGCTGCTTAAGCTGAGCCTTTGCAATATTTTTTGTTGCAGTCTTGAATATGACTTCCATATTGTCAGCTGTACTCTTGTAATTGCTTTCATAATCAGTGTCAGATAGATCATCAAGATCTGTATCTGGTTCTCTATCATCCTTAAATAATAAAAATAAATATTTATTATGTAAATTAATTTTATACAAATAGTGATATATATCATACCTCACAGGGCAGTAGAGCTTTTCTGCCATACATCATCTCATATGGCGTGAATTTTGAGGATTCATGCGTTGATGTATTGTAGGCAAATACAATACCAGGGAGAACTCCAGGCCAATCCTTCTGATTGCCTTTTGTACACTTCAAAAGTGAATTTTGAAGAGTACAATTAGCTCTCTCTACCATGCCATTAGCCTGAGGATGGTAGGCGCTTGTCACTCTCTGATGGGTTCCCACGAGTTTGTGATATTCATTACTCACTTGATTTACAAACTCGCGTCCCTGATCATTGATTTGGACCTATAAATATGATAAATATCATTATATTATAAAAATTTCATCAACCTTGACTCTGCCATGCCTGCATAACAGTGAATATAAAAAGAAGGTCACTGAATGGGCAGTCTTATCCTTTAATTAATTATTCAAGAATTATGTATATATTCATATATTGCTTTTAATGTAGGAGCATGAAAGATGCCTATTATAAAAAAATAAATTATGACAAATCATTTTCTCAAAGAAAATGGCTATCATATAGCTCTATTTTGGATAAAGTATTCTGTATCTTCTGTATTATGTTTGGAAGTCATCAAGCAAGCATGCAATGGACTCATAAAGGTGCAGATAGCTGGAATAATTTAGTCCGGGATATGGAGAGACATGAAACATCCCCTGTTCATGTAGATTGTGAATATGCACATATGGCATGGATTTCTCGGTGGCGTATTGATGACCACATTTTATTCAACCGAGAGGAAATTATAACCCAAAATCGTTATATTATCCATAATATAATTGATGCCATTGTGTATTTAATACGGGGCAATATTGCTTTTTGGGGAAGCAATTCTCATGATGGTAATTTTTCAAGACTTATAACTTTGATCTCAAAGAATGTTCCAGTATTAAGAGCATATCTAGAGAAAAATATTAGTTTACGAGGAAAAAGTGGTAATAAAATATTAAGGCCACAAATAAACTTCATATCCTATGGCCATGTTAAAAAATTGGCTGAGATAATAAAAATATTGAATGAAATAATTAAACAAATTATGTCAAATTGTGCCTTTAGCTTAATATTAGATGGTACATATGATATTTCAAAAAAGGAATGTGTTGCCTTAATTATAAGGTATATACAAGAATATCCACACCCACACCCAGTAGAAAGAATCATTAATATTTTTACAACTTCTGACACAACAGGAGAAAATATTAAAAATAATGTTCTAACTAAATTAAAGGCATTACATCTTCCACTAGAATACCTGATTGGGCAAAGTATGAATGGTGCTGGTAATATGAGAAGTGTTAATAAGGGAGTACAGGCTTTAATATTTAAAGAAGCTCCTAAAGCTATTTATGTCTGGTGCCATGCTCATAGGCTTAATTTAATTGTTATTCGTATATGTGGATATGGGAATGAAATTAAAAAAACTATGGGAATTTTAGATGAATTATATAATTTTATGAATGGAGTTAAACGCCAGGGTGTTTTTACCAAATTTCAAATGCAAAAAACCAAAAAATCTCTCAAAAGAATAAAAAACACAACAAGGTAAATAAATATAATTTTTTAAGAATTTTATTTATTTTCAGAAATTGGGCATCATCTTTCAAAGCATTACAAATTTTTTTAGATGTTTATGAATATATAATAGCCTCCTTGACAGAGTTAAGCAATTCCGATGACGCAATCACATTTTCAATTTCTGAGGGATTGCTATCTAGAATAAAACGATATGATTTTATTTTAGGATTATTTATTTTAAGAATAATCTTAAAATGTACACATGAAACTTGCATTGAAATGCAGGCAATTGGAAATGATTTAGCAATGATGATTAAATTGATCCAACATACAAAAAATAAATTCCAAAGATTAAGGAGTAAACATGTATTTTAATTACATTTTCTAATTAAGCAAATGGTGATAATATATTAACATCATTACATACCGATGTTAAATCATTTATGGATAAGAATAATGTTACAACCGATATTTATAATATTAAGTCAATATTTAAATTAGATCAAAAAGAGTTTGATAATTATATTGAACAACAAAATGAAAAGTATATTTTAAAATAATATATATTTTTTTAGATATAAAAATGAAAATTTTTACCCAGTGGTTAATATGATCATTGAACAATTAAATGAAAGATTTAATTATGAATCATTAAACTTTTTAAATCAGATTTCTATTTTTACTCCTGCGGGATTAGCAGATAATGAGAATATATAAATTTCCCAGATATCTGAAATTGTGTTTATATAACTTTGATGCACAGAAAATTATAGATGAATTTTCCAATTTTAGACCATTATACTTAGATTCCTTATCAATCATTTATAATAAAGATTTAATCAATATTAGAAAAAATGATACCTTATATGATGAAAGTTATTAATTTTATTAACAACTTAATTTTAATATGTTTACAGGTGAAAACATTATAAATGATAGTAAAATGACCGAAACAAAAAGATGGCTGAAATATTCATTTATTCTACCATATAGATTATTAATTAAATCAAGTTCTTTTCCTTATCTTAAAACGTTATATAATAAATATCTTATAACCCTCCCCACCACCTCATGCTCTGCTGAAAGAGCTATGAGTAAAGTCAAAATTGTTAAAACACGTATTCGAAATAAAATCTCTGATTCTTTTTTAGAAAATTTATTATTAATATCAAGTGAAATTGATATATATGATACATTTACAGAAGATATTATTACAGATTTCGCGTTAACTTCTAAAAGACTATCTAATCTTTTAATTGGATAATCCATTTTTTTTAAATATTAAACAGCAATAAATTTAGACATTTGGCATTGTAATTCCCTTTTTTCAATATTTGAATAAATTTGGATTACTAATCCCTTATTAGTTAGCCATTTTTAATTAGTCTTTTTCTGCACATATATTTATATTCCTTATGTTATATCTTTAACATTAAAAAAAATTATTATGTAGCAATTATAATATCCATTTTTTTAAATATTAAATAGCAATAAATTTAGACATTTTGCATTATTATTCCCTTTTTTATTTGAATAAATTTGGATTACTAGTATTAGTTAGTTATTTAAATTTAGTCTTTTTCTGTACACATATTTATATTCCTTATGTTATATATATTTTTAACATTAAAAAAATTATAAATAAAATAAAATTATTATGTGGAAATTAAAATATATAATTTTTTAAATTTCGATAATTTTTATACCAATAAATATTCTTCCTGTAATCTATATATAATTATTTCATAAAATATTCAGACTTATATTTATGGCAAATTTTTTTAGGGGGGTAGGCTGAGGTTTTTGAGGGGGGTTTGCATCCAGTGAAAATCCTGTCATGTAGACACTGCTATCAGATAAAAGAAAGAGTATATTGGTACTATGATTTTAAAGTCATAAATTCATTTTGAGAAGTGGTGCAAGCTTTTTGGGCCATATCAGGTTAATGGCCTATATAGTGTTGTTAAATTGCTGGGTCGGGTCGGCTTGGCCGAAAACCCAGCAAGGTTTGAGCCGAAAAAAACGACCTTAAACCCGAGCCAACCCATTTAGCCATAGATCAGACCCGACCCGACCCAATGGGCCACATGGGCCGACCCAATGGGCCACATGGGCCGACCCGATGAGTCGGATTGTTGGGTCGGCTTGTTGGGTCGGCTTGGTGGGTCGGCTTGATGGGTCGGCTTGTTGGGTCGGCTTGGTGGGTCGGCTTGCTGGGTCGGCTTGTTGGGTCGGCTTGCTGGGTCGGCTTGTTGGGTCGGCTTGTTGGGTCGGCTTGCTGGGTCGGCTTGATGGGTCGGCTTGTTGGGTCGGCTTGGTGGGTCGGCTTGTTGGGTCGGCTTGATGGGTTGGCTTGCTGGGTCGGCTTGTTGGGTCGGCTTGATGGGTCGGCTTGCTGGGTCGGCTTGTTTCGTCGGCTTGCAGGGTCGGCTTGCTGGGTCAGCTTGCTGGGTGGGCTTGCGTTAAAATTTGTCATAATCGTCATCTTTATGTTTTTTCGAATTTTTTTGAAGCAAATAGGTAAAAATATATTTTGTGAACATGTTAAATTAAATTTTTAGTGAATATGTACCTTAGAAAAGTGACAATTGTCATAATCTTCATTTTTAAGTTTTTTCGAATTTCTTTGAAGCAAATAGGTAAAAATATATATATTAACATGTTATATTAAATTTTCAGTGAATATGTACCTTAGAAAAGTGACAATTGTAATAATCGTCATTTTTAAGTTTTGTCGAATTTTTTTGAAGCAAATAGGTAAAAATATATATTGTAAACATGTTAAATTAAATTTTCAGTGAATATGTACCTTAGAAAAGTGACAATTGTCATAATCGTCATTTTTAAGTTTTTTCGAATTTCTTTGAAGCAAATAGGTAAAAATATATATATTAACATGTTAAATTTAATTTTCAGTGAATATGTACCTTAGAAAAGTGACAATTGTCATAATCGTCATTTTTAAGTTTTTTCGAATTTCTTTGAAGCAAATAGGTAAAAATATATATATTAACATGTTATATTAAATTTTCAGTGAATGTGTATCTTAGAAAAGTGACAATTGTTATAATCGTCATTTTTAAGTTTTGTCGAATTTTTTTGAAGCAAATAGGTAAAAATATATATATTAACATGTTATATTAAATTTTCAGTGAATGTGTATCTTAGAAAAGTGACAATTGTCATAATCGTCATTTTTAAGTTTTGTCGAATTTTTTTGAAGCAAATAGGTAAAAATATATATTGTAAACATGTTAAATTAAATTTTCAGTGAATATGTACCTTAGAAAAGTGACAATTGTCATAATCGTCATCTTTAAGTTTTTTTAAACTTTCTTTTAATCTTAGTGGTTTTTAATATTATAAAGTTCAAAAATTTTATTTTTTTTATCACCACGCTTGAAATGTAAAAATTAAAAAAACATTTTATTTATGTTTAAAGTCTTGTAAAAAGTTTTGGATATTTAATAGATTTTCTAAAACCATTGAATCTAGTAATAAGGTGTCACTTGCAATTATATTTTATTCCAATGAGGAAAATTTTATTTAAAATTGTTTTAAGCCTATTTAAAAAAATTTTGATATTGGAAAGATGTTATAAAATATTTGGATTCAGTAAGAAATTTTTTCTTTCATTACTTTTTGACTCCACCCTTAAAAATCTAGAAATATAAAATAAATTATACTTATTTTCAGACTAGTAAAAAGTTTTTATAATTAGAAAAATATTTCTAAATCTCTAATATTGATATTGCTATTATATTTCATTCTTTTTTTTTTAACTTGAACTTAGTTTATAATATTTGGTATTAGATATGAGTGGTATATCCTTTGAAACTTTTTAAAGGATTGCTAGATAATAGGAAAATACAGGGAAAATTGAGCAAGGAACTCATTTTTAAATTTAAGACATTCAGATATATTTTTTCTAATCTTATAAAAATATTAAGTAATATGTAACTACTATAAATTTTTTATATCAAATTTGATTTGAAACACAAGATTTTAATTATTATTTGATTTAAGATCATGGATATAATTCTTGACAAATTTTAAATTATTTTTCATAATTTCTGAGTTTTACAAATATTTTGTTTACATATCACGATTGTTAAAGCGATTGTTAGCGGGCCTTGCTAAACCCCCTAAATACTTTCTACCACTATTGCATCATTATAAATTTTAATTGATTTTTTTTCTTTGGTAATTGTGTGGATGACTTATGCAAAATCCAATTATTCATACTTAAGAATGAATATCATAGAAAAAATTTGGAAAACATTTAGATCTTCAGAGATACTACTAATTAGGAATTAAAAATTTTTTATCTATAAACCCCCCCCCCCCCCATTTTCTTTTTAGAAATATTAACTATTATTTTTTTAAAAATGATATATTTTTTATTCATTTATCGCAAGTAGGCTCTTATATTTTATAAGTAAAAATTTACAAATGCAAAATAAATAAGGCACATTTTCATATCTTTATTATTTTCATAAATAAAAAATAAAAATTATATGAAATCAAATAACAAATAATTGAAAAATAACAAATTATACAAAAAATTCGTCACGCAAATTTAAAACATTAACATCCCATGAATTTATACATAGGCATTGTTTTAACGTTGAGGCTGACATCCTATTCCTCTTCTTAGTAATGGTTGCGCCGGCTCGAGAAAAATACGTTCGCTTGCTACGGACGTAGTTTGTTCGCATAAGTAATCCTTGGCCATTGTCGACAGCTTTGGAAAACAATTAGCGTTTCGAGACCACCAATCTATAATATCAACAGAGGTTTGAGCAACCGGATCTGTTAAATATTCTTCGATTTCTTCTCCGTCTAAATTTGGCATAATGTATGATTTCCTTAATATAAAATATTTAAATTAAATTAACTATTTATTATATAATCAAATCCATTGTAAAACCTTGTAACAAGACTTAGTAGTATAGCTAAAAATGTCTTTACAAATAAACGAGGGTGCTTTAATGACCAAAATTTTGAAAATATTTTATTACTGAAATAAATAATTATTTATAATCATATATTTCGATTTCCATATATTAAATTAAAATCTAGTGTTGTTAAACGGCTTGAGCCGATTTTTTTAAAAGCTGAAAACGAGCTGTTTAACAACAATATTAAAATCTAAAAATCATTATTTTAGTTATATTTTGATAAATATGATAAAGAGTCAATATTTTTAGTTCATTTCATTAATTTTTATAAAGAATCTAATTTAAGATTATACAAACTATATTAGTAGTGTTTGCAAAAGTCCGGTCGGACGTCGGGCCGACGGTCCGGTCCAAG